ACGTTTTTAAAAACTTTATTTCAATCAAAACAATTAATTATTTAATTTACTTTTTATTAAAATTAATGGGGTTTAAACCTTCAAATGTACTTAACGTTTTTAAAAACTTTATTTCAATCAAAACAATTAATTATTTAATTGAATTTTTATTAAAACTGATGGGAGGAGGGTTCATATCTTCAACTTATTTACGTGTTCCAAACATTTATTTCAATCAAAACAATTATTTATTTATTTATTTAATTTAATTTTTATTAACACTGATCATTTATACCAATTAATTTACTATTGCAAAAATGATGAGAATACTTTCGTTCATTTTTTTCTTTTTTTTTATTCGACTTTTCATTAAATTACCATTTTCATTTTCTATTCTTTTTTTTTTTTTGTTTAAATATATTTTGTTATCTGATGATGAGTCAGGTGTCAAGAAATAGAAATTTAGATCGTAATATATAGATAGATATTTTTTCCCTGCCAATTGTAAGATACGAGGGAAGATGTTTAAGTAGTCTTTGGTAAGGCCCCATTTCGAAAAGTTTGGGAGGAGTAGAGGATTTTACAGATATATCGAAGGATACTTTATTGACGTTGAGCTAATATACAAACTATCCATCCATGTATTTTTAAATGGGTGAAAAAAGAGGGGGGGGGGGGTAAAGAAAATAATAAAAAAAAAAAAGAAATATTTGTTCAAAAGATACGAACATTTTCTATCCTTTCATAAATCATTTTACAATCGTGATATTTTTGAAAATATAAAATGAGAACAACGTCAAACAGGAACAAAAAAAAATAAAAATTTGTACAAAAAATACAAAAACTTTCGTCATCAATCCTTTCATAGATTTTTTTTATTATAAAATCATGAAAAACATAATTTATAAAAAAAATCTCGATGAATTATTCGTTCTAATTTGACAAAGATGATGCGTGACTACTTGAAAATGTAAGGTGAACTACACGGTAATAAAATAAAATAAAATAAAATTAAAAAAAAAAAAAAAGAGAAAGATAGAAACAGAGTTATGGACGAGTGTCCATCGCGATGTATCGTTATCGTTATCAGGGTGGGGCTTCGATATCGATGAGGGCCTCCCTAACGGGATTTTCCTATCAGTTTGTCTCTCATGGCTTGGTTACTTGCTTGTTTGATTGTTTGAGGGTGTGCTCGTGCGCACAAAACGCACAACACTCTTTTATAATCTTAAACACTTATAAAAGGTTAAATATTATAGATAAATTTCTTCGTATATGTATATACATACATGCACATATATATATATATAACTACGTGTATGATGTGTGTATATATACATGTGAAATATACATACACATATACATATATTTCTCTCTCTCTCTCTCTCTCTTTTTCTTGTTCTGTCTCTTTTTCTCTCTCTCTTTCTATCCACTTTGATCTTTCTTTTTCTATATACATATATTTTATATATATAGGGCCCAATGGACACGTTGAGTACTAGCACGGTTAACTTAAAGACTCTTCTCACCTTTTTCGTTTTGAACATTAACGTGATCGACGTTGCACGAGTTGGATCTTATTTTTTTTTTTTCGTCGAAAATTCTCTAACCGTGGTACTTTGATATCTATTTGAAAAGACGATTACGAGTATGATACCGACTTTAGTATCATTCTATCCGTGTGTACGAACGAACGATAATTAACTAACTAACTAACTAATAATTCGTATCATGAAAATATCAATTGTTTATTCGGAAAATTGTACAAAAGTGTGAAATTAATTCATAAAAAATATATTGGAGTCTGTGTAATATTTTAAATCATTTATTTTATTTTTTTTTTATGTATTTAGTTAGTTCGAATGATAATAATTAACTATCGTATCACAAAAGTGAAATTAATTTATAAAAAACAAATCTAAGACTGTGTAATATTTTATTTTATTTTATTTTTTTTTTTTTTTTTTATGTATTATTTATTTCGAACGAAAATAATTAATTATCGTATCACGAAAATATAATTTTGTTTCTTTGGAATATTTGCAAGTGTGAAATTAATTTATAAAAAATAAATCTAGGTCTGTGTAGTATTTTAAATTACTTATTTTATTTTTTGTTTTTTTGTAATATTATTTATTTCAAAGTGTGAAATTAATTCTTACAATTAGAAAAAAAAATTCGAAGATCTGTGCAATATTTAAATTATTTATTTTATTATTTTTTTTTTTATAATATTATTTATTTCGAACGAAAATAATTAATTATCGTATCACAAAAGTATAATTTTGTTTCTTTGGAATATTTGCAAGTGTGAAATTAATTTATAAAAAATAAATCTGGGTCTGTGTAGTATTTTAAATTACTTATTTTATTTTTTGTTTTTTTGTAATATTATTTATTTCAAAGTGTGAAATTAAATCTTACAATTAGAAAAAAAAATTCGAAGATCTGTGCAATATTTAAATTATTTATTTTATTTTATTATTATTTTTTTTTTAATGTTATTTATTTCGAACGAAAATAATTAATAATTTTCGTATCACGAAACTCTAATATTGTTTTATTTTTAAATATTTTCAAGTGTTAAATTAATTCTTACAATTAAAAGAAAAATTCAAAGACCTGTGTAATATTTTAAATCAATTATTTTATTTCAATATATTTTTATTTTTTTTTTGTAAATCTTTATATTATTTAAATTTAAAGTGTAAAAATTAAATAAGTTTCGTACAATTTGGTTTTTGCAATGCTTCAAATATTTAAAATGTAAATTCAATCGGTTCGGTTATTTATATTGGTGTCGTTATTATAATTGTGTGAGAAATTAATTTCATTGTGTTAAATAAATAAAAGTGAATATTAAAAGAACAAAAAGAAACCGAAAGAAAAAATAGAAAACATAAAACAAAATCACGCGAACGGGGTTAAAAATATATGAAAAAACATATATATATATATTTAAAAAACGGGTTCACAAGAAAAAAAAAACAAAACCTTGAACGAATTATCGATAAACCGTGAGTGTACGAAAATCAATGATTTTTTTCAATGATCTATAATTTAAAGGGGATGAACAGGTGATCGAAACATCGTATTAGGATTCTTCGAAGATTACACACACCCTTCTTCTTCTTCTTCTTCTTCTTCTTGATTTTCTTCTTCTCAAGATTCTATACAGTGTCAAAAAAAAAAGAAATGAGAAAGAGAGAGAGAGAGAGAAAGAGAGGTTTGCACGACCCTCAGTTGGAAGTGAGGATCTAGGCAGTGAGTAATAAAAACTCTAGCAACATGCCAGATCTAACTCTTCCAGCTCAAGGTCGTGCAAAATGATCGTCGGTCAAATCGTCAAAATTGATACAACAATTCTGATCATTTTCAATTTTTGTGGGACACTACTACTTCGCATCGAAGAAGAACAAATAACTTACGTTAAGTTAAAAAATACACACATATACACAACAAAGTTATATATATATATGTATATATATGTATGATTTGGAAAATAAGAGAAGGTTTCTAGGTTTAAGTGGAGAAGTGGTCTCTACGCTTTGTTAATTAAGTGAGATTCAACTCCTCCAACTTATTCCTGGTTCTTCCTAGTCGTCATCAAAAATTGGATGTTATATTTTCAACCAAAATTGTATCATAACATTTATTATCAACTATAGATAATATTTATTTAACGATCGAGATTATTATAATGATTAATCGATGATGTTGTTTGTTGTTATATATAACACGTTTTAATATTAATAATAAATGTATTTGTAAAATTTCTTACACACCATACGCACAAAATCTATTTAATTTATTACAACAATTATAAAAAAAAATATATATATATATATATTATTTATTTTTATATATATATATATATAAATATTATTTAGTAACTATAACAATTTATGTTAGAGTACTTTTAATTTTAGGAAATGATGTAACTCACGTGTAATATGAGATATTTTATTATTATTATTATTATTATGTTAATTGTTATTTATATTTATTTTTATATACAATTATTATTAGTAGTAATAAGTGGTATAATAATTTAAAAAAAAAACATATAATAATATTAATAAAAATAAATAAAAAAAGCATGCACTTCCTATCCTGATAATTGGATTATTTATTTTGATTACAATTCGATTTATTAATTATTTTTTTTTTAATTTGTTTATTTTTTTTTTTAATGATAAATAATCGATATAATAATCGATGATGATGATGATTATAATGATGATAGATCGCTCGCATAGACGAAGAATGCGTGAATGCACTTCTAACACTCGAATACCTGAGCCAACTTTGTCAGGTGACGCCAATGGAAAATGGCAACGAGGTGATTTCCGGTCAGGGTTTTCAAACATTAAAAAGCAGCGATCGTAGCGTTGATTCCAATGGTCATGGAAATTCTGCAGGATGTTTTAAAGGATCTACGATGATCGATGAAAGGATACATCATATGCATTTCACCTTTGATGCACTTAGTATATTACCTAAATGCCAACAAGGAGAATTAATCTTTTCCATGTTTGCCAATGGTTAGAAAAATTAATTATTATTTTTATTTAATTATTTCGAATTTTATTTTATTTTATTTTTTATTTTTTGTTTGTTTGTTTTTTTTTTTGTTTTAATAATAATAATACGTGTCTATGAACGTCGAATTATTTTTTTGTATATAATAATTTTTAATATATAAATATATATATATTCATAATATAGATTATGATTATCTAATTATCTGATTTGAATTTTAATACGATTAATAATTTATTTTTGTTTTTATCTTTTTTTTTTTTTTTCTATTATCGATAATAATATAATAAATTTATAAATATAATATAAAGATAATAATATAAATTCTAAATATCGATAATAATATAATGAATTTATAAATATAATATAAAGATAATAATATAAATTCTAATATATCGTTAATAATAATATTAATAATATTTAATTATTATTTATTTTAATATTAATTATTATATTATTAATATTTAATATATATAATATATATATATATATATTTAATATAGATTATGATTATCTGATTATCTGATTATCATAATAGATTATGATTATTTTTTTAATTTGATTTGAATTTTAAGATAATTCAAAATTTATTTTTGTATTTTTTTTTTATTACGTATTAATAATAATAATAATAATAATAATAATAATAATAATAATAATAATAATAATAATAATAATAATAATAATAGTGTTTGTACCAATTAGTAGAACGTAGAATAATATGTTTTTTTGTATTTAATGATTTACAGTGTGTTTATTAGAAAGATAAGTTTAGATTAGAATTATTTTTATCTTTTGTTTTATTTTTATTATTTTTTTTTTTTATTGATAAGAATCGCAAAGAAAATGATAATAATTATACAAAGATTAAATTCTATATATTTTTCATTATTTTTTTTTTTTTTTGTACATTTTTTATTATATTGTAATTTATATTTGATTAATAATTAATGAATAAAAATAAAAGAAATAAAAAAAAAGTATGATTCGTCAGGTACAGATCATGTTGAAGAAGGAAGACAAAGTGCTAACAGGATTCTCATGGAAGGATTTTTAAAACGTGTTAAACATTTACATAACAAAGAACTTCAATTAACAAATATCCAATCGCAAAAATTTACGGAGATGCTTTTCAATAGGCCACGTGAAGAGGATTCTAATTCGATATTTTTTTCAAAAGGTAATACGACAAGTAAATCTTCTGCTTTTTTTTTTATAAAAAAAAAAACAATGTTATGCATTAAAAAAAATATATGACAAATAAAAAATGAGGAATCAATTCCTTAAAAAAAAAAATACGAACGTAATTTTGCCGTCATTTGCTTTTATTAATTTTGCATTTGAATAATACAAAAATAAAATAATAAATAATAAATATGAAAAAAACTTAATATTTTCCACAGATGGGAATAAAAAAACTGAGATTCCATTGGATGTTCATCCACATTGGCGTTGTTTTGTCAAAGGAATAAGTTCGACCCACGTGATCATGACAATTTTACCAGCATCCGAAAAAGATGTTTATCTTTTAGCACATCATAAATATCAAAAAGAAAAAGAATCATCATTCAATGACAATAATTCTTCATCTAACGTTGATGTAAACGAGATCAATTGTTCTACGGATAATAATATTTATGAAAATAATACTGCAGAATCTTTAGAACAATCATCATTGGACAATAATATTAATAATCGATCTAATACACCTTTTGAAAGTACAACGAAAATCATCAACACTTCGGAGAGTCTTTTGATTCCCGTTTACGTTTACAATTGTTCGTTGACATTATTGATCGATGCGTTGATAGAAAAATTGGAATCACCACGTAACAAGGATATTTATCAGGATCATACATTTCGAATTGGTCAGAAGGATCGTGAAGAATTTATTCATTCTAAATTAATAAACAATATGAAAACATCCTCACCTGAACCGAAAAGTGAGGATTCTGACAATACAACTAGCGGTAGGTTCATTCAAATTTCGTTCAAATTACGTGACCAGAAAGTTATGTCGTTTTCAAACAACTTAAGTTAGATCAATTAATAAAATATTGATCATTGATCTTTGAACATCCTAAAAATAATGATCTGATCAAACTTCATAATTAAAAGTTTGAAACTTAAAATCACTTGTCAGGTTGAAAGACAATACATTTTAGAGTTTACAGTGTTAAATAAAGTTCATAAATTATTGTATTAGTAGATATAAAGTCAAGATCAAAATTGAATAATTAAAACACACCATAATAACACTAACTTTTGATTAATACCAAAATTATATCAAAGAACAACTAAATAATGAACATTTGAATTGAAAACAACAATAAAACGCGACCTAACTTTCTATTATATGTATTATCTATTGATAATACATCATAATTAACATAATCATGTTTATGTTTTTATATTTATAGATCAAAAAAGTTTAATGGAACATTGCAAGATATTAAATTTCGCTCATTGCCATTGCTACGTAGCTGCCGTTTACAAATCTTTAGCACTTCAGCAACCATTGAGTTACGAGGACATGGAAGCAGCTGTTGAATTATGCGAAGAAAGTTTGATAGAAATAGATATTACTAATTATTTACAATCAGTCTGCAGACATTTGAGTATATCTCAAGATGGTAACTTGTTGAATCATTTGAACAGCAATGTTTGCTGTGACGTTAAACCCTTGCACGATTTGATAAAAGATAAGTTTGAAAGTATGATAACTGTTGCCTTCAGACCTGTACCAGCACATCCAGAATTTTATTATTGTTCGCCATTGTGGGTTTCAAAAAAAACTGTATGTGTTTTGACTCATTACAACATGATAATTAAATTTCAAAATGATTCATTCTTCAATTTTGCAGGGTCGAGCTAATTTTGAAAGATCTGACGACAGTGACGATGATTTTACATTTCATTCGGAAATTGATTGCAAATTGGATGATTCCTCGCGTCAAGGTAATTATTTATTTGTTTAACATTCGATACAATTTTTTATTAACTTAATTTTTTTAGAAAACGAAGATGGAGACGCAACGGGTTCCAGTGATTTTCGGAAATTACCAAATTGCGTGTACTCATCTGATACTTTCAATAACGAGTTACAAGATGACAATATCTGTGACAAAGAACAACCATTATTTTTAAGATTAAGTTGTTCGATATATTTCCGTTCCGGATCTAAAAGTACACTCGTCAATTTACTTCCCACGTGTTTAAGCGAAATTATACAAAGGATGGATATCGAAAATGACGACACTGAAATGGATTTGACCAATTTGAGTAACATCAAAGTAACCTTGGGTATTATTTGTTTGAATTTACCCAGAGAAGTGGTAGACGTTACTGCAAAACGTTGCATTAATATAAAAAATAATTTATTTTTTGATACCACAATGGACAACAACGTTCACGTTGTTGAATATGAGAGAAGTTTGAGTGATGAAAAGAAATCAGAAAATTTGCCTGACAGTATGAAACATCTTCCGTTACATCAACACAGTGCTATCACCAATTTGACTTATGAAATTGAATGGTTGTTGCAAGACGAAACGGCTACTGCACTTTTGGATCGTTCATCACCGACGGAAAAAACATTGAAATTCGTTGCACGTCACGTTTCAGAATCAACCGAACGAACCAGTTGTTCAATGGACAAAGTACCCCTGCATTTTGTATTTCCATCGGAGAACAGTGTACTGAAATTTTTAGAAGAGTTGCAAAAATTGAAAATCGATCGTTATTGTATACAACAGGAAGGTTTTTTGTATTATTTTATTAAAAACACGCAAGATTTAGTCGACGAATTGAACGATAGCGACAAAGTTTTGAATTTCAAGGACCATGTTGTAATAAGGAAAGGTAATTAAATGAAATATTTGTATATTATTTTGTAATTTTATCAAATTATATTACAATATGATCACACAGATGATATCAGCGAAAATATTGAGCAAAATGTATCCGGGGAACTTCGAAATTCTGGAAAGTTTGACTCCACCGATCCACCAGGTTGCTACTCTGACGTTTCCAGCATCGGTGAAGGTAAAATAGGTACGGACGATGGTTACGAAGGTGATAGCAGTAATTCTGAAGATGATTTGCAATGGTTGATAGAACTTGATAAACGAAGAGACAGTCTACCGAATTTTTGGTTAATTTTGCAAGTAGAAAGTAGCCACGTCAATGTATATTTTCATTGCAGGTTGGTATAACAAATCAATACGATATTATGAATTATTTAAATAAACCAATCATTGAATTTTATTTACAGGTTCCTAGAATTGGTCTCCCCCGAAGTAGATTGTTACAAATTGATACAAAAGATGGTGGTCAATCAAATCAAAGTTATTTGTCGTCGTGTCAATCAATACTTGCTACTTCAAAATCTTCACGACACGCGAGTATGCGATGCCCTTTTAGAACCGGAAGTTAACGAGGATCACGCTTGGAGAGGTGATACGAGTAGCGATTCGGGTGGTTCGTTGCAAAGCAACAATTCGATTTTAAACTTCGCACCAGGCATGTTTCGTTGTCCTGTAGTTTGGGAAGTACCATTTTATTTACATCCACGTTTGAAAACTGGTCCAGGAAGGTCTGGTCTTTCACGTGGTATCAAAGCACTTCATGGTGTTTTAAATTGGCTCTCAGTTAACAATCGTAGCAACATGTTTGTATATCAAGAGAACAATAAGAACGTGTTTTACTTGAGACTTCATGAACAGACCAACGATGGGAAACCACTTCAAAACAAACTTTCAGAAAGTGACGAGAAGTTGACAGTTTCGAGAAGCAACAGTGCAGCATCTTTATCACAAGCCAAAGGAATTGACAGTTCAAATGATCATTCTCTAACAAATGACACTAGACCTAGAGTCCGATCTTTTGGTGAAAAGGAGTCAGACATTTTGAACAAAGCTGGTGATTCGATCATATTGAAGGTACACGGCATTTCCGAAGCTGGACCATTGGTCAAATGTGACTTGGTACAAGTTTTACAAAATCGTTTAGACGATGCCGTATTCGAAGTCTTATCCGTTATGTTGGCACGTAATCCAATGTGCAAATTAACACCTGCAGACGTTCACTTCATTCAAAAACCATACAAAAATCCTGAAACAATCGTACAATTGTCCGTACAATCGCATTGTTTACTTCACATGGCTGCATTAGGACACTACCTGAGACAAAACTTATTACAATTTCTTTATATACCTAAATATACCGATCATAGAACGTGTTATCACTTTCAAGACTATTCTCAACCGGAAGGTTCATCTAACAGGGTTGCAGAGTCTGATATATTTTTATACAATCAAAGTCCGTCGAGTGGTAGCAAAGGAATAGCTTGCATAGCTTTAGCAATTGCTGATTCAAAGAATGAAAATATTTCTCAGATAGATGATGAAGTGTCCTGCGACGTGGATCTTCGTGAACAATTGAAAAGTGAAAATTTTGAGAACCTAGTCTCCACTTCCATTTGCACGAATAAAAGTAACTCGAAACAGGTGATAGAATTTAGAATTTGGAAACAGGGTAGAGTAAATTTGGAAGCTTTGTTACAAAAATTGTGTGCTGCTGTTAGATACGCAACATGGGATTTGGTTACTGAATACAATCTCTTGTCAACGGCTCTTACCGAACCATTAGAAAATGTAGATAGAAATGTTTCAACGGATGATAAAGAAACACCTGTTGAAAATAAACTCAATCAATCCAAGGATCCTGACAATATTGTAATTAACCAATACGAATTTGGTGAGGAAGGTAAACTAAATGAAATTTATCACACAATATTAACCAAATGGTTCAAATATGCATTGGAAGTTGGTGTACCTGCTGTGAAAAAACACGAAGTTATTATTCATCATAGACACTCGATTCCTGTTATTGTTCGTGAACTTCAGAATTTAATACGTGGTCATGCACCTGACACATCGAGCAGGGCATTCGTTTTAAGGGATCGTCAGCCATTTCTCAGTGAAACTGTCAACCCTACACCAAATCTTTTAGCTTTTTGTGAAAACAAAGAAGCTAGGAAAAGATGGATAACCAACGTGAACGAACGTGACAGAACGTTATCACCTGTTTATGTGTCATGTGATTTTAGTAAACATGAACAAGGAACTTATACAAATTGTATTCTAATAGCTAGAAATTTTTATCAATGGAAAGTGTCCTTCGGTAAAACGATCGAGGAGGAATTACTTGTTCCCAAAGGTATTGATAACAAAAAGACAATTTTCTTATCAATGATTTTATTATTAATTAATATAAACTCTTGACAGGATGTATTATTTTATAGATCAAAAGTTATTACAAAAATTCAATCCTTTGATACTACCATCTGACTTTGTACCAAGACAGCGAATATTATTGGCTGAAATTCAAAGTGGCAATGTAATTATATAAATCATACTTCTTTCCTTTTATTGATAATTATTTTTCTCTTATAAAAATAATAATTTTTTGCAGATAACATTTTACATGTACAACTGGTCAAAAGAAAGATCAGAAAAATTTATCAAACAAACGACGAGTTTGGGTACATGGCTTTCATCCAGATCACAACTTTTCACAAATATAATAATGCATAAGTTAGGTATATTTCATCATCAACCAACAACCAATTATCAACAAGGTGAACAAAGTAATTCCCAGTATTATCAAATCACCGATATGGAAAGTTTAACGAAATTTCCACACTCGTCGCATGGTGAAAATAAAACTGTTTCCAAACAACACAGTAGAAATAATCCATTACCATGGAATCAATTAGTTGGACAAGCTTCTAAAGAAACTGAGAATAGTTCTTATCATTTGAACGATGATATTGATCCGGTTGTTAAAACTGCATACGATTTGCAAGATTTTCGTTATCGTGAAAGAAAAGCCAAAGGTAAAAACGATTGTACAATGTTTTATTTAAATGATTTACATTTAATAAATAATTGTATTTATTGTTCAGAGGATATGAACAAATTGTACACGATATGGCAAAATCGTAATTCAGCATCCAACATACCAGTTTGTTGCGACACCTTGAACACATTTAAACAACATTCTCGTTTGATACACTTCTGTCATACACCATTATTATTTTTACCAACATGGCGTTTGCAATCAGCTGCTACCAGAGATCATTCCTTGACACCACCGTGTTCACTTGCATCCAGTAACGTTAGTCAACAAACCAATGAACAAATTCAATTGAAAGAAGATCCATCTAAAGCTGTGATTGTTAAATGGCATCGTGAATTATGCAACTCAATGTTAACTGAATACAAACAGTACTTGCAGATATTAGGATTCAGTCCTATTCAAGTTGAATCGCAAGATAAAATGTACGAGTAATTTGTCGATCTCTCTCTTGTCTGCTGACACTTTCTTGATTTACACATTATTTTATTTGTTTGGTTTTTTTCTTTTTTCAGAGACACTGAACAGAATCCACATCAGACGCATTATTTGAAGAAATCCATGTTAGGTGGAGTTTTGTTGTTCGAAATTCACTTGTCTCAGCCATTTTTTATCGCAAAATTACGCGTCATAGAATGCAATCGTCTTTCAACCAAAACCAATAGTGCAATGGTCAATCAAGTACGTATTATTTAGTTATAAACATTTCTTTTGGTTTCGTTCTTTCGTTAAGATAAACAAATTTGAATAAAATTCGTTGTTACAGTTCGTTTTGAGTTTTGTTGATGCCTGTGACAAGATCAAAATCAACATGCACCTGCATTCGTTTACATACGATTTTCATTTACGTTGCATACACTCGTACATTGCTGGAAAAGGTTTTTGGTCATTGCAACAGGGCTACCATTTGACCCATTTTCTAGATGATTTTAATAAATATTACAGCAAGGCACCCAACTATGCGAGAAATCTCGTTTACAGTGGTACGATTTTGATTTGAATTGGTGTAAACAGATTAAATTTATTTATTTGAATAATATTTTATTTTTCAGACGTGGTCAATGTGAGGAATTTGGCTACACCTGCTCGCATGTTATACACATATTTATTAGCACACGAGGAAACTTATGGCATGCGAGCCTTCGTGATGTCCAACGAACCTCAAGAATCTCAGGAAGGTGAATACGTGTTGTTTAAATTACAGAGTACTCCATTGGTTAGTTATTGTGATGCACAAGACACCAGGTACACCGATGACTTCGATGTAGCTCTGATAGTTTCAAGAATTGAACAACCACCAGAAATCGAAAAAACTGAAATAACATTGAAATATTATCTGATGTTAACGAGCAAACGTGAACTTTATCCTAAACGTGACTTGGAAAACAATAAACTAGGCAAATTTCGTACGGTTTACAGTGTCATCAAATTAGCTAACAGTTCATCACAGCAAGGAAATTCATCTGAATCCAATTCAATTTCAACAATTGTTCAACAACCACCACCACCGTTAGTTAGAAAAAGTTCCAATCGTGAAATGAGCACGAATCCAACGGATTCAGATTCGCGTAACAGCGATATCGATTCTAATGGTAATTCCAAAGAATCCGATGAGAAAATATCAGCCAATAAAACGATCAATAATATGGCACCAACCCCACCACCCGTACCTAATTCACCCCTAACTCAAAATCACAACGTTTTGAACACGTCGAGTTCATCATCGTCACCACACTTGGTACAAATTCGTCAGGAATCTGTGAATTATTTGGGATATTATTCGTCACACGAACAATTGATGCAACAATTGATCATGTCACAAGCTCAAGCAGCACGACAACACATAATCGACATGATAGAACGTGGTGCATCCCAATGTAGGACTCATTTACTTTGGAACAAATTATTTGAAAACAAATCATCAATGACTTATACAGAATTCATGGAATTGTGTTCATTGGCACACGTAGAACCACTTTCTCAGTTGGAACCACGAATTAGTCCGCTTAGCAATCAACCTATCTCTTGGTATCAAACTTTGACAAAAGTTCTTCAAAATAAATATCAAGAATTTCATAAACAATTTAGTACAGCTGATGGAAATATAACTCATCATTTGATATTACATCATAGATCTTTACAAGCTTTTACGATGTTGACGATTGATCTTCACACGTCTAGAGGGGTAAATAATTTATTTAATTAATGTCATATTATTATTAGAATTGAACCCAAAAATTCGTTCAGATTTATTGTATTATACAGTGTGTTGTAAATTGGTTTTTGGATTGTTTTCTGTAAACATTTATTTTATAAATATTAATATACATAAATGCAGGAAATTTTGGTTCATCCTAATATTTTATAGTTTAATTATATATAATATAATTAATACATATATATATATWTTTTTTTTAGGATCTTTACGTAGTTTATCGTAAATTGGCAGAAGTTACAAACGCACCTGTAAATATGGAAGACGTTTACAGTTTGATCGAGGGTTTCATCAATGCTTGTTGTTTTCATTTATGGACTAGCTTGTGTAATCAATGATCTGAAGTTAGAAATGTTCGAACTGTAAATCATAGATCTAATACGTACTTACGAATATTCGACATGATCGTTAATATCGTTTACTCTCGTAAAAGGTGAATGATTTTTAACATATATTGTTTTGATTAACGTTGTTATCGCCATTGTTAAAAAAAAAAAAAAACTGTATCTTTTCATTGATCATTAATTCTTATACATGTCATCTTTATTATTAATATTATTATTATTATTTTTATTATCATCGTCATAATTGATTTTCAAATTTAACACAATTTGTATATATATATATATATACATATAGATATTGTATAAATAATAAGACATTTTTTCTGTTAAATGTTAATTCGATAATCCGCCATTTTTTTGGAAATCTTCCTTCACACAAAAATCCAGTTATTATCCTGTTGGTAGAATTCCAAAGGAATTGACGTAGGTGAATTCTTATGGAATTTATAAATAAATCGGTTATCTATGATCCTACCCTTTTTCACACACACACACACACACACACTCACATACGTATAATACATAAAAATATGTTCAACCGGTTCCTAATATGTATATATATATATATATATACAAAACATATATATGTTATACTAATCTCAAGAATCGTCTGAGGAATTTTGTAGACCAATAGCAGACACAAAAGTTATATTTTTAAGTTAATATTTTATTATTATTATTTAAAAAAAAAAAAAAAAAGAAAACAAGGTTGCTGTAGTTTCAAGGAAAAATTTTATTTAAACTTTGATTGCCTAAAATAGATAATGTGAAGATTATCTAAATAATTTGAGAAATTAACTTTAACTTTAATTTATCATTCTAATTAATTGATTAATATTATTTAGATAATTTATAGATTATGTGCAGGATATCTAAATAATTTGGGAAATAAACTTAAACTTAAATTTATCATTCTAATTAATTTATATATTATTTAGATAATTTCTAGATAATATGAAAATTATTTAAATAATTTTAGTAATGAGACAATATTTTCAATTAACTTTCACTTTAATTGTGATCATTTTAATTAATTTAAATATTATTTAGATAATTTGTAGATAATGTGTGAAAATTATTTAGATAATTTAAGAAACGTAAATAATTTTGTTAATTAACTGTAATTTTAATTTCTAATTTTAATATTAATTTATAAATATTATTTAGATAATCTATAGAATAATTGATTTGCATTTTGGTTGTTAAATTAAATGTATTTATATTATTATAATAATGTTATCTAATATGTTATATTGTTCTATAGGTATAGTTTGTGTAATACTTTTAGTTAAATTTTTAGTTGGTGATGTAGAAATTGAAGAAATATCTAAGGCAGGTTAATTAACTAACAAATTAGATTGTACGGACTTTTCGTTGGGGCTTCCATGAGCGAATAGTGAAGCCAACTAGGTGACACATACTCTCAGAAATTTTCTATCCACCGACCAGGTGAGTATTATTCCTAACATACTCTTTTTCTCTCTTACTATTCTTTTATACTTCATTCTAATATTATTTATTTATTTATTTATTTATTTTTATTTACTTAACAAATTAGGAATAGTTGAAACACGTGTTTGATTCAAAGATATTTATTTAATCTTCTATGTTATGTGTTGTGCAGTTTTAATATAGAAAAAAAGAAAAAAGAAAAACAACAAATCAAATTTGTTGTTAAATTGATTTTTAAAATAAAATACATTTCTCATTCAGTCGAGACGTAATAATTTAACCAATCGGATATAATAAAAGTCAGGTTTGATAATAATATTGTTGACGTTCAAGATTTTTATCTTAAAAGGTTGTTTTTTTTTTTTTTCTAAATAAAATTAATATTCAAGTAATTCGAATACATATGTATATATTTGTTAATAGTAATAAAAAGAAGAAGTAAAAGAAAATTGCTTAAATAATAATAATAATAATAATATAACAATAAAACTAACCATATACTTTGTAAACAACTATAAACAACATATTAATAGTAATTAATTAATAATTAATTTTTTAAAAATATATATATAGTTTTTGTCCTTTTAAAGATATTTCGTAGAATTATTGATATTGATATTATTTAATTAATTATTTTTAATTAATTAAATAATAAAATTAATGAAACTAATCAGAGTCACTTGTTTTACAACTATTAAATAACATATTTAATAATTAATTATGATAATAATTTAAACAAATATAGTTTTGTCCTTTTAAAGATATTTCGTAGAATTATTGATATTGATATTATTTAATTAATTATTAATCTACAGCTTAAATAATACAATTAATAAAATTAATAAAACTAATCAGAGTCACTTGTGTTACAACTATTAAATAACATATTTAATAATTAATTATAATAATAATTTAAACAAATATAGTTTTGTCCTTTTGAAAATATTTGATTGACAAGATTATCGTTGACATTGATATTATTTAATTAATTATTTTTAATTAATTAAATAATAAAATTAATGAAACTAATCAGAGTCACTTGTGTTAAAACTATCAAATAACATATTTAATAATTTATTATAATAATAATTTAAACAAATATAGTTTTGTCCTTTTAAAAATATTTGATTGACAAGATTATCGTTGACATTGATATTATTTAATTAATTATTTTTTAATAATCTACTGCTTAAATAATAAAATTAATAAAATTAATCAGAGTCACTTGTGTTACAACTATTAAATAACATATTTAATAATTAATTATGATAACAATTTTTTTAAGATATTTTTTGATGATTTTCGTAGAATTCTATTTTGAATAATAATACTTCCTTGTTTTTTTTTTATATACATAATTTTGATTATTATTGTATTAAAAAATAAAGTGTGCAAGGAAATATGTAGCTCATATGACTCATGGTCAGAATACTTTCATAATCGTCAGTTCATATTTCACGTTAATAATAGAAGAAGAAAAGAAAAAAGATAAAAATAAAAATAGAAAGAAACTAGTTTTTATTATGCGTATCAGATTAACATATATACATATACATACATATATATGTACATATTTATGTGTGTAAAAATAAAAGAAAAGGGTTTGTAGAATTTATGAAAACAAAAAATAACAAAGGATCTATCCACGTGTAAAAAATAATGAAGGAACCATGAAATTTTCATCATTTGTTAAAATTAGTTAATGACCACCCCCCCCCCCCACGATATTTTAAGTTGAATCTACAAAAATCTTGTAACTTTTATCTTTTATCTTTTATCTTTCTCGTTGAGTTTAATCTACCTTTAAATCGTTCTTTTTCTCAAGAGATACACGAAGAGAATCTTATCAAACGAATTGATCCAATGTTTCGATAAGAGATCAAGAATGATTGAGAATGATCGATTGTGATCGATAAAGATCGAGAGTTATTTTCAACAAAAGTTTAATATCAAACAAAACAATTGTTTCGTTCTGTTTTTTTTTTTTTACAATATTTATTTTCAATTATTGTAATAATCAAAATCAAACGATTGTTTGTTTCGTTCCATTTTGTTTTTTATTTTACTGGAAATTATTTGTTTACTGTTACTTTTTACTATTTATATATTTTTTTATTTCTACAATATTTATATCCAATTATTGTAATAATCAAAATCAAACAAATTGCACCCGATTCTTTAGGATTTCATACAATTTTATTAAGGATGGGATTTAAATTACTCGAATGGAAAATATCAAAGTTTGTTAATTGAATTCTTGATAAATTTATTTTGCAATAAAGAAAAAAAAAATAGAATTATAAATAAATCATTCGTAATTGGAAATAATGGGGTTGTTTACAGAGATGATTTACAAGAACATTTGAATTACCCACATAAATATATAGAAATATGTTTATATGTATGTATATGTTACTGATACTTATGAAAAAATGATGTTAGGGAATATTAAGATTCACATAATCGTATAATTTGTGTCTAAAATATTAATTTATAAAAAACATAATTCAAATATTCGATCTTCCACCTACATAATGGTATATGTTGACATACACCCATATATACATATATGTGTTACTGTAAAAGATCGAAATTTGGGAATGCTAGGATTCGCATAATCATTTGATCTATGTTTAAAATAATTAAATATAAAAAACATCATTCAAATATTCATTCATCCAGATGAATCGTAATATTCACTCAGATGAATCTTAACATTAATCCAGATGAATCTGATCCATTCTCCAGTTTCGATCTTTCACAGGAATATACACACATGTGTAACTTTGTTCAAGCATATCCAATCATTTGCTACTTTCCATAAATGCGTGTCCCAAAGCAGATCACCCTGACTCTACCACATACACACACCCATACATCCACATACATATATAAATACACATATACATTCGTATATTTCTCTGTTTTATTGATTTTCCTTAGAGGCGCAAGCGCTACATCCTCGATTGCAATAAGGGGGGTGCGGCTGTAACCATGGATCCCAGTGTACTCGCTACCATGGACAAGGACACATTGAAGAAACAGATCGAGAACATGAAATATCAAGCGGCCATGGAACGGTGGTCGTTGTCCAAAAGTATTGCGGCGTAAGTTATACATTTTTCCCTTTCCATCCCCCGCCCCGCCCCGCCCCCCCCCCATCCCTTACAAAAATTATTTATAATATTGTTACATATTTTTTTTATTCTTTTTTTGCACTCATTTTTTGTTTTCTAGTTTGCAGCCTCTTTTACCCAGTTTCCATTTTTTTTCACGCGTCAAGTTTTATTTATTTATTATTTTATATTATTTATTTATTTAATTATTTTTACAATATGTATGGTGTAATGGTTTTTCTATTTATGAATTTTATTCAACATTCATATATATATATATATATTTATGGTTTTTTTTTATATATGCATTTATGGTTAGTTACAAATTGTTGATTTAAATGTTGAATTAATTTATTCTGTATCTTCCAAATTTATTTTTTTTTAGGTCAATCAAATTTTGTATGGTAGTATATTGATCCAAACTTTGTATACGGGATAGTACTTTTTTTTTTTAATTTTTATTTGTCATTCTCTCATTGGGTTACCATGCATGAGATTGTCTGCAAAATTGTGTTACATTGTATGGATAACTTATCTACAATTTTAACACCGGTTGCATCATTACTATATCATAACTTAATTATCATTTATTTTCTTAATAATTCTCTCATTCATTAATCATAATACATAATAATAATGTTATTTATTATAAACTAAAACTTAAACTCAATTCAACAAATCATATGTGTCCCATTTATATAAATCATTAAATTACTTGTTCATCTCTATTTATTTTTTTACATACTATTAAACCAAAAAAAAAAAGGAAAATCATTAATTAGGTTTATCAATAGAACATAAGTAATTATCTATTCTATTTTTTTTCCTTACTTTCTTAATAATTCTTTTTTATTAATCATAATACATAATAGTAATGTTATTATAAACTAAAACTTAGATTCAATTCAACAAATCATATGTGTCCCATTTTTATAAATCATTAAATTACTTGTTCATCTCTATTTATTTTTTTACATACTATTAAATAAAAAAAAAAAGAAATATCATTGATTAGGTTTATCAATAGAACATTTTTAATTATCTATTCTATTTTTTTTTCCTTACTTTCTGAATAATTCTTTTTTATTAATCATAATACATAATAAATAATAATGTTATTTATTATAAACTAAAACTTAGATTCAATTCAACAAATCATATGTGTCCCATTTATACAAATCATTAAATTACTTATTCATCTCTATTTATTTTTTTACATATTATTAAACAATATATTAGAAAATTAAATCGATTAGGTTGATTAACATAACAACGACACAAAAAAAAAACCAAACATATGCAAAAGAATGTTGTTAGTTTAATATAAAAAAAATATTCTGAAGAAAATAAAAATAATAATCGATATATAACATCAAGTATCATTTAAATGCCACAAGTATGTACATATATATATATATATATATATATTTATAAGGATCATGATTCCCATCGAATGCTAATACAAAATCAAGGATTATTTAGCCTTGATTCTCGACAACAAGGATAACGATGAAGTCCGTTGTGCCAAGAAAAAGGAAACAAATAAAAGATATCAAATGAAATAAAATAAAATCACGTGAAATAAAAAATCAAAGATAAAAGAAAGAGGGTGTCCTTGAAACGCACTGTATATGCTTTAATTCAAACTGTCACTTTCGGAGCACACACACACACACACAAACACACACACATATACAAATTATACACACAACAGCCACTTACAAAACACACACATACAACAGTCACATACAAAACACACATACACAACAGCCACATACAAAACAAATACACACAACAGCCACATACAAAACAAACACACACAACAGCCACATACAAAACAAACACACACAACAGCCACATACAAAACAAACACACACAACAGTCACATACAAAACACACACACACAACAGCCACATACAAAACACACACACGACAGCCACATACAAAACACACACACACAACAGCCACATACAACAGCCACATACAAACACACACACAACAGACACATACAAAACAAACACACACACAACAGACACATACAAAACAAACACACACAACAGACACATATAATACACACATACATATACCATTCCCCCACACCCTCACACCCCCAGACCCCCTTTTTTTACACTCTAATAATCAAATTAAAAAATCATTAGCTACGAAGAATAGAATCGAATGATGATGATGATGAAGATGAAGATGATGATTATGATTATGATTATGATGATGATTCATAAAGGATAGTCTGTAGGAGTGTTAATAAATTATTCTTAAGTAGAGTGTATGTTTCACGCATCATTCTCTTTGTTATATACCGTTTACTATTGTCTTCTAGGTGTTTTCTAGGTGTTCTAGGTGTTTGAGATGCATTCTCGAAGAAAGATGACTGAGGAGGTTTTATCGATAAATTATTTTTCTTTTTATCTTTATCTTTTGTTATTGTTCATATGGTTTTTGTTTTCTTTCTTTCTTTTTTATCATATCGGTCGTTAGTTTATCTAAAGAGGAAATATTTATAGGTATTTTATTATTGATTTTTTAGTTGTTATTTATTTTAATTTATTTTTATATTATTGTTCATACATCTCATTTTTTCTTTTCTATTGTATTGTCATTGTTTTGTCAGGGAAAATTTATAGGAATTTTTTTCATGATTTTTAGTTGATAAGTAATATTAGAAAATTATATTTTAAAATCATTTCTTTAACAATTGTATCCAGATACAAATATTGAATTAATTTTTTATTATTGTTCATGTATCTCATTTCTTCATAATTTCTTTTTTATGGTATGTTTGTTATTTTATTGGAGAATATTTATAGGAATTTATTATTAATTTTTATTTGGTAAATAATATTATAAATCATACATACACACATATTAATCAATTCATTAAAAATACTATCAAATGCAACTATTTAATTATTATTTTATTAGAAAATATTGATAGAAATTATTATAGATTTTAAATTGCAAATAATATAAATGAATATTAATAAAATAAAAATATTGAATAAATTGCAATACAAATAATATTAATAAATTAACGAATACTAATTAAATTGCAAATAAATTAAATAGTAATCAATTGATTCAAAATACTATCAAACACAACTACTTAATTATTATTTATTTAAAATAATATAAATCCGTGTATTTTAAAATTATTTTATACTATCTTCCTTTACTATCATTATCATTATCATTATTATCATTATTATTATTATTATAATTCTAAGAAGAGATCCGGTTATAGATTAATTGTTCTTTTAGATAGAACGTGTTATCGATAAAATAATTATCTACACTTTATAATACCCGATATAGAAAAATAACGATTTTCATATTCACGCTTATATCTATATATATATATATAGATATAAATGTGTCTGTAAATATATATGTATATATTTATATGTTTGTTGTATGTGTATCTGTAGATATCTTGCAAACTTTCTCCGCTTACCGGTATGAATCTATCTTTATCTTTCCTTCAAGATACAACGTGTCTTTTCAAATACATTATCTATGTTGTTTTATATATGAATACAAGTATCAATGTATTAGTTGATGCTTCTTCTTCTTCTTCTTCTTCTTCTTCTTCTCACCCTCTTTGTAAAATAAGAAATCACTATGAAAGTAGGATACATTTACAGTCTTAACTATCACGATGAAGCACGAAATAATACGAAATCGTGAGATTATCTCAAATAGGAATAGAAAGAACGATAGGTGAACGTTAAGTTCGCGTTGAAAAGGTGGTGGTGGAGGTGGTGGTGGAGGAGGAGGAGGAGGAGGTCGTGCAAACCTAATCGAAAGTCAGCCATTTTAAGATTCTTTCGTATTATTTTAAAAGAACTAACTAACTTTATCTTCTTATTTTCTTTTTTATTTTTCCTTTTTTTCATTTCCAATTTGAGGTGACTAATTTATTGAAATCATTGTTCATAAATCTTATGATAAGATTCTGTTTTTTTTTTTTTTAATGGTTTTAAGTATTGGTAAATTGATAAGAATGTTTTCTTTTGGTTGATTCGTTTAAATGATATTTTATTTTATTTTGTAATTATTATAAATATTTTTGTAAATAAACAATGTAAATCATTGTTTGTAATTTGATAAAATACTTTTTTTTTATATAATTGTTTTAAGTATTGGTAAATTGATAACAATTTTATTTAGAATTTTTTTCTTTTGGTTAATTTGATTAAATTATATTTTATTTTTCAGTTGACATTCATCAGGTGTAATCATCGTAATTAGTAAAATTAGTACACAGGTTATATTTATTATTTTTAATATATTTTTAATATTAATAATAAAAGCAAAATATTAATTATCCTATTATTTATATCACATCATTTCTATTTATTTATTATTAATACGATATTAATTTATTTTAAATATTATTGAAAATAATTAGAAATAAAAAACAATACTTTTATTAATATTATTGTTTAAAATTTTCTAACAAGTATCTGTCAAATTTATTATATTTTCAATATATTTTTAATATAATTTTAATATATTAATAGATTTAATTATTCATAAATTAATAGATTAATATATTAATTAATAATTAAACAATAATTATTATGATTTGTATCATCATTCAATTGCATCAATCATTGCATTTATTTTATTTATTATTAATACGATATTAATTTATTTTAAATATTATTGAATATAATTAGAAATA